GCCCCATCAACACTGAAGAACCTTGACACCATCCAGGACAAAGCATCCCAAATGAATGGCATCACATTCACAAACATTCAGTTATTCGACCACCAACACTCAGTAGCAGCAGTGTGTACCATCTACAAGTTGCAGAAACTCACTAAGGCACCTTAGACAGCACCTTTCAATCCCATGGCCTCTACCAACTAAAAAGACAAGGGCAGCAGATGCAAGGAGTCCTCCGTCCAAGTCACTCACCATCCTGCCTTGGAAATACATTGCCGTTCCTTCAGTGTCACTGGGTCAAAATCCCACAACTCCCTCTAAATTGCCATTGTGGGTGTCCATACACCAAATGGACTGCAGTGTGCAAGAAGGCAGCTCAGCCCCACCTTCTCAAGGATGGGCAATAAATACTGGCCCATCCACTGACACCTGTGACACATGAATTAATGTTAAAATGTGTATCTATCTCAATCTTGAAAACTTCAATGAAACTGACATCCTCAATCTCTTGAGGGAAGAGATTTCCATATTTCCCCTCCCCTTTGTGTGAAGTACTGAAAGCTGATCTCTTTCCTTGATGCCTTGGTATTAAATGGACTGTTTTGGTCAGAATAGGAAGAGGGTTAAATTCATTCCTGACCTCAGGCCACTGATCTGGATTCTAATCCCTATTTCTGTCCCAGATCTGACCAAAGATTGCTCACTTGTTTTAGAGGAGTTTTCTGGGAGGGAGTGGGTGATGGAGGAGGGAGGGGTGTTATGAAGTGGGTGAAGGAATGGAGGTTGCAGGTACATGAGTGAGTATGGGGTCTGGTGGTGATTGTTGTAGATGCCAGGTGGGTTAGAGAATGGGGGAAGGTGCCAGGTAAATGGCTGAGGGTTTAGGAAAGGCTGGGGTATCTGGGAGGGGTGAGTTGAAGGGCAGTAATTTGAGCAGGTTTTAACTCTCAGATTTTTACAGTAAAGTACAGAAGGAGGCTATTTGACCCAATGTGTCTGTACCAGCTCCTGAAAGAGCTACCCAGCTAGCCCCAATCTCCAGCCCTATTTCTGTGGTCCTCTAAATGCATCACTTTCAAATATATACCCAGCTCTCTTTTGAAACCTCCAAGGCAGCACATTCCAAATCCCAACAACTCTGAGTCAAGAAGTTTCCCCTCCTCTCACTCCTAGCTCTCTTGTTGACAAACTCTCCTAATTTTTCTTGGGAACCCTCTGAACTCTGTGACTCTGACTCAGACTTGGACACATATTTGGAAGGTTCCAGATGCTGGGTAATTTCCCACTGGAACTTTCAACTTCCCAGTCAGATCCTGTGGAGACAGCTACATGAGGATTTCCACAAGGTCCTGACATGCAGTTCCGGTCTATCACCCTGTGGGAAGATCTAGGCTGGTATTTGATATTTTCTCAGGACTCAAGTAGTAAAGAGTTATATCCACCAGGGGTCAGTGTTGGGATGGTTGCTAAAAGACAAAAATCTCTGGAGGCTGGTGTATGAGGCACAACTTCAACATTTACTGATAGTAAAATTAAAGCAAGTTGTTAACCATGAAGAGGAATCTAGCAGTCTGGTCAGTTAGCAGGTTAAGTTGATAGAAAATCAGATTAAATTTAATGTGGATAAAATGGGAATGATGGGATTTGTGAGGAAGAATGTGTGAGGAAGATGCTCACATTTGATAAAATGCTTTAGTGATAAAATAGTGATAAAATGCTTTATCACTGGATGGTAACATTTTGAAAGGAGACAGGAAGCAAATCGATTTGCTCACTCAGATTTATTAATGTGAAGGGAAGTTACTTATAAATGCCCTGACAATTTTGGTTTTGTTTTAATTTCAAAATATACTTTATTCATAAAAATATCTTTCATAGTCACAAATGCACTTCAGTTCTGTACAGCAGCATATCAAGGAAACAAGCTAACATTGGAATTTGACTCTATCCAAACAAACCAAGGCATCTCTTACCTGAATCAGACTATATTTACATTAATTTGAGGCACCAGCAGAATCCAATAACTGAATGAACCCCCATTTATCTTAAGCAGGAAGACCTCAGATGGAGGTATTTCCCTACTGCTCCATGGCAGCAGCTGCCCCAAGTTTTAGTGCATCCCACAGCACGTAGTCCTGGACCTCAGAACATGCCAGTTTGCAACACTGAGTTGAAGTCAACATCTTTGTTCAGGAAGACCAACAAGTTTCGGGCAGACCAAACAGTGTCTTTCAATGAGTGGATGGTCCTCCAGGCACAGTTAATGTTTGTCTCAGCGGGCATCCTGGGGAACAGACAGTAGAGCGGATTCCTGCGTCATGGAACTGCTTGGACGAACCTCGACACAAACCATACGCATCTTCTGCAAAGGCACATTCCAGCAGGAAATGGGCGACAGTCTCTATCCCCTGGCAGCTGCCTTGAGGGCAGCATGCAGTGGCACAGACTGACCAAGTACACAAGAAGGATCTCACGGGAAGTGTCCTTCTCACCACCAGCCAAACAATGTCTTGGTGCTTGTTGGAAAGTCCTGGTGATGAGGCATTCTGCCAAATGACTTTGACAGTCTGTGCAGGGAACCACTCGACAAGATCTACCCTCTCCTTTTCCCGCAGGGTCTCGAGGACACTACATGGTGACCACTTCCTGGTGGACTTGTGGTCAAAGGTATTTTTCTTTTCAAATTTCTCCATGAAGGACAGGTGATACAGAATGGTCCAACTACTTGGAACGTTCCGTGACAGCGTGGCCAGTCCCGTCCTTCGCAACACCTGGGACAGATAGAACCTCAGTACATAGAGACACTGGGTGTTTGTGTACCGAGGGTCAACGTACAGCTTGATGCAGCCACACAGAAAGGTGGCCATCAGGATGAGGGTGGTGTGGGATATGTTCTTCCCCCGAGTTTTGTATGTGGTGCCCCTGTGGACACAGTCCATCTTAGACCTCCAGATGAAACATTAGATGGCTCGGGTCACTGCAGCAGCGCAGTTTCAGGGAATGAGTCAGAACCGTGCCACGTACGACATATACTTAAGAGGGACAGACAGTATTACAGGAAAGAGACAAGGTTAAACTGCCTCAAGGGTTCACATCAGTCACAGACAGAACAGTGAGTGTTAGTTTTAGGTGCTGCAGAAAATTTTTGGACTTAAGGCTCATTTCATGCTTATTCAGGTGAATGTAAAAATCCCAAAACAAAGAAGATGAGGTGAGTGTCCCAGCCAATATTCAGCCTTCTAACCACCCTCATCAATGCAGCTGATGGGGTCATTTATTTCATCACTGTTCACAGTTTTTCCTTATGTTATGATGTATAGTTACAGAGCTTATAGGTGTCTCGTCAGTCCCCTATTTCCCATGATTATATATGAGACTGATAAGATCTTAAAGGGTTAATTGAATAAGCATCATCCACTGTAATAATGGATTGAGAACCAGGTGGAAGAATAAAAACAGCATGTGGAGAGAGACAGAGATGAGGCTAGGCCCGTCCAACAGTCACTGTACAGTGTTCTTATAACCTGTAAATAGTGGCAGAGAAGTAATAAACTGCATCTTGTTTACTCAAGAATACACTTCCAGCTCAACCAGGAGAAGATAGCAGACCTCACACACATTTGATGATGTAAACCCCCTACAGAACCCACAGATTTTGATATGATGGCAGCATGCTTAATACCCAAGACATTTACAATGTAATCAGCATTAGTTAAACAAAGCTGCTGCTCTCATAATTTAACAAAAGGTCTAAGGGCTTCAGTGCTTTCATTTTGACAATTTCACCAGGCTCACAATGAAATCTAATACCCCCTAGTCCAGAGAAAATTTAATCTTCTTCAGTGCACGAACAGGCATGTGTGAGCTGCCAAACTGATATTAATAAATTGATTTAAATGCATTTCCAACTGCCATGCCAGAATTATGGCAACTAGGGAGTTTAACATTTGATCAGATGAGATTGGAGGTGAGTCTACAAATATTTTAAGAAGTAATTATTTAGCAACGGCCCTGCCAGCATTGGAGCCTGTCGACTGACTGTAGCTCGAGGTGTGGTCAAATATTGCAAGCAGTGAATGATCTGAAACTCGCTGTTCCAGCCAGGAATTCTGCACTCTGTATAAAACAAGTGATAGCATCGTATGACAGACCACCTCAGATGTTCCAGCAATGTGTCTTTAATCATCTCTGCAAGTCTGTGGGCAGCAGCAGACGGACTGTGACTTTACAAAGTACAGGCCCCAAATATTTCAGAGGACACACTACACCTTGAACGTGGAGAAAAAAAGTCTAAATATCACACAAAGGAGAAAAAAAGACCACAAATTCTAAAGCATTGATGTTCTTTTCTGCTGCTGTTACCTGTGTTAGAACTATTTAAAAATAGTATAGCTCTGATGGAAATGTCTCCTAAGTTATCGAACCAACTCATTCAGTAAAAGGCTTGGACTGATAATGATTAGAATAACGACAAGTACTTGCTTTTGCAGAGCATCTTTTACAATCCCAGTACATAGTTATGAACGAATGAATCAGGAGCAGGACTAGACCATTCAGCTTTGGGCCTGTTCCGACATTCAATAAGATCACTTCTGATATGATTGTAATTTTAAATCTGTTTTCCCCCTTACCGCTCAGGACGTTTCACTCCCTTCCTTAACAAGAATCTATCTCTGCCTTAAATAAAATATTCAAGACCTCCGGCCTCCGTCACCTTTTCAGGAAGGGAGTCCCAATGACACAATACTTTCTGAGAGAAATAAATTGGCTTCATCTCTATTTTAAATGGGCCAATCCTCATTTGTAAATGGTGTTCTGAAGAAGGGTCTAGGCCCAAAACGTCAGCTTTCCTACTCCTCGGCCTGCTGTGTTCATCCAGCTCTACACCTTGTTATCTCAGATGCTCCAGCATCTGCAGTTCCTACTATCTCTGAAACAATTTTAACCCCTTAAATCTATATTCCTCGGAGAGGAACCAGCCTCACCACATCCACTTCTGTCTGAAAACTCACCCTCACGCTGTGACTCCCGCCAAGGTTCATGCCTCACGCCTCTCACCACTGCCTGCATCATCTTTCCCCACTTGCCTTAATCCCATCGCAATACCTGAAAGATGAAAGTGGATGGCACAGATATTACTGACGGTGCAGGTGCGGGGAATGTCCTGAGTGAGTAGGCAGAGCATAGGGATGACTTGATTTGATTTATTTATTGTCACATGTATCTTGTTACACAAATACAGGTCAAAGTGTTGTGTAGTGCCGCCACTCCCCAGCGCCATCTTAAAACACAGAAAAATAAACCAAAACATGGAATATAACGACAGAAAAATAAACAAAGAAAGAAAAACTGCTCAACTTTACAGTCCTTCTTCTTAAGCATTGCTCACGGGCCATGGGCCTGGTGGGCGTTAACCTTCCCGGTAGGATGGTGGAGGAGGAGGTGCTTATCCACTCCCTCCCCTTTTCTTTTCGTTTCTTTTTATCTCTCTCGTCTCCTCTTTTCGTTCTCATTCATTTGGCTTACCTGGAGGTGAAGAGCTTGGTCGCAGTGATGGTTTCGGCGGCAGTGAGTAGGCCCAAGAGCCTGGGCCCGTGGCAGTGACGTCGAAGGTGAGACGGGGTTCCCGCGCAGCTTCTACACCGATGAGGTGGTCCTATTGCCGACTCACGGCCTCTGCGGCAGCTTGGGTTCCCCATGGCGGTCTGCACCCAGCGCAGATTCACGGAGGCAGCAGCGAAGGCGAGTTCGGACTGGTGTGGTATCCAGCGGCATCGGGGGCTCCTGCTCTGGCCAGGTCCAGCAAGGACTCATGGTGGAGAAGGCGTTGCTGGAAACATGATGGCGCTGACAAGTGGTGACTTTCATTCCTGCGAAGGTGACGCATGCCTGGCCCACCAGGCCCATGGCCCGTGACACAACGCTTAACAAGAAGGACTGTAAAGTTGAGCACTTTTTCTTTCTTTATTTATTTTTCTGTCTTTATATTTCCATGTTTTGGTTTATTTTTCTGTGTTTTAAGATGGCGCTGGGGAGTGGCGGCACTACACAACACTTTGCACTGTATTTGTGTAACAAGATACATAATGACAATAAATAAATCAAATCAAATCAAATCATCCCCTATGCTCTGCCTACTCACTCACTCAGGACATTCCCCGCACCTGCACCGTCAGTAATATCTGTGCCACCACTTTCATTTCCCATAATCCCTGCCACTCTCACTCCTTCCAGGAAGGAAACGGACCATCATGGGGCAGATGGAGTCAAGATGGGAGATGTGCTGCCTGTCATTCTGCTCCTCGTTCCTCATGAGGAGAGGATCCTGACTCTGACCTCCTTGAGCATGTCCTGGACTGGTATTGAATTACTGTGCCAGGGCCCACTCGAGTCATTGCCAGTGGCCTTGACAGACTGAGGCTTGCTGCCAACTGTGACAAGTTTCCTGGCTTCATGCCTGCACTAAACAGCTGGTATAACCAGTGGGAATGTGAACCTGGTATCTCTGGCTGTGGAGGGAAAGTACAAAATGGTGAGGCAAGACAGGGACGCGGTCAGTACCAGTCAGGTTCAGACTGAGTGCTAGCCAAAGATGTGCAGGCTAGGTGTTTATGGCGATAGGGTTATGTCTGGATGGGATGCTGTTCGGAGGCTTGGTGCAAACTCGATGGGCTAAATGACCTCTTTCCGCAATGATTCTTTGATAGTGAGTGAAGAGCCTGGAAATGCAGCCTGGTCCAGCTCATGAGTTGGGGTTATGTCCCTGAAAATACAGAGTCCTTGCTGCAGCATTGCAATGAGAGTTACTGGGGCAGTCTGAGGTGCAGCATTGAAGTGCGGAACCACCCTATAAAATGGACTGGAGGTGGCACATGTTGGATGCCAATATCCATAGATGTGAGTTGTGTGTGGCCCCATGGACCGTGCCCTGAGATGTTGGTGCCTGGTCTCAAACATGGAAGCCTTTTGGAGCAAATGTTAAGTTGAATCTGCTGTAGTTTCCATCCTGAGTTTTCCCAATGGCTTGTTTTCCCAACGGTGAGATTGGGAAGATCACAGTTGAGTTGGGCTGTTAACAAGGTCTGTAAGGAGAAGTTATAATGATTGCCAGTTGGGAGCTTGTGACTGCCTAGTGCGAATCTCAGCACGGTGCTTGTGCTAAGTGGCCAAGACACAACGAGATGATCTCAATATCGAGATGGACCTCAACAAACATCCAGCCAATTCTACCACTCATCTTACCGTAGCCCTCATTGCTCAGAGTCTGGTAATCTGCCCAGAGTTAATGTTTCAAGTCTGATATAACTTCTTCAGAATTACAGTACAGGCTCAGTGACGTTTCTTGGGGAGTAAATGTGGGCCACTGTATTAGGGACAATTCCCCAAAAGATGCAATGGGAGTTTTTAATGTCTATCTGAGAAGGAAGGTAGGATCCTCAATTTAATTTCCAATGCAACAGATGGCACCTTTGACAATGGAATGTTCCCTCAGTGTAATGCCAACAGCAGAACAGAAATACTCAGGAGGAAGAGAAGAGACATTGACACATATTGGTCAAAGATCATTATCATAATAATTTCAAAGTATTAATCTTTCTGCTACATTAGACTCTCATTTCACTGGTTGTCAGAATCAATTGGATCATGTTTAAATGTGGCTGACTACAGACCAGATGTGTGAACATACTGAATGCTTGTTTGCAAATTTTAATCATGGTCAAAATTTGATCTCTTGAACTTAGTGTACAGTTTACATTCCAACCAGCTGAAATGTTTTGCCTCTGGGGACAACTGGTAGATGCATGATACATATTCAAATAAAAACAAAGTCCTGCAAATGTTGAGATCGTTAAAAAAAAAAATCAGAACTTGCTGGAGAAACTCATTAGGTCTGGCATAACCCTTGGAGAGAGAAACACAGGCAATCTTTCACATCTGATTTGACTCTAAGAGAAGAGACGTTCTGGACTTGAAACATTAACTCTCTCTGCAACTGCTGTCAGACCTGCTGAGTTTCTCCAGCAAGTTCTGTTTTTATTTAAGCAAAGTCAATATTCTATGTTTTTCTTCATTCATGAAAGTATAATAGAGAAAAATCAGTTTGGGATTAAGTTTATTTTTAATTGTTACAACAGAGAAGAAAGCCATTTGGCCCATCTGGTTCATGACAGCTCTCTAGAGAAAGTCCCGCTCTCTGACCTATTCCTCATAGCTGTGAGAATTATTTCTCTTCAGGTCATTACAGCATTGCAGATCCAATATATAACATAAAGAAATGCAAACAAACAAGGAAATTGACTCTTCAGGAGATCTTTCAAAATTCTCAGCAAACATACATTCTGTTGAGAAAGACAAACTTCACAGAAAGGATCATTACCTGTGGTTAACCAAGGATTTTAAGGGCCTGCAATTTTTCCCATTTTCAATGATAGGCTGCTTTTCTATTCTTCCTACCAAAGTGGACAAGTTCACAACTTCCCACATTGTGCTCCATCTGCCAAAATTTGCCACTCATTGACTCTATCTATATTCCTCTGCAGTCTGTGTGGTCAGTTCCAATGTTAATTTCCTACCTTACCTTTGTGTCATCAACAAACTTAGTGACCAAAGATTCAGCCTCTTCATTGAAGTTATTCATTCCAGTATTTCCGTGGCATAGATGTTAAGCTAACTGGCCAGCTTTCTGTCTTCTTCCTTTCTTGAATAGATGTGTTACTTTCACTACTTTCCAATATTCTGGGAACTTTTCAGACTGTAAGAAATGTTTACAAAATTGAAGCCCGGAAAATGTACCTGGAGTACTGTGTACAGATTTGGTCTCCTTACTTGAAAAAGAAAGTACTGGCACTGGAGGAGGTGCAGAAGATTGATTGATTGATTGATTCTGGAGTTGAGAGGGTTGGCTTATCAGGAGAGATTGAGCGGACTGGAACTGTACTCATTGGAATTTAGAAGAATGAGGGGCTATCTTATAGAAACACTTAAAATTATGAAGGGACTAGGTAAAATAGAAGCAGGGAGGTTGTTTCCACTGGTGCGTGAACCTCAAAATAGGGGAGAGCAGATTTAGGACTCCGTTGAGGAGGGTTGTGGATCTGTGGAACTCCCTGCCCAGTGAAATCGTTGCGGCTACCTTGTTGAATGTTTTTAAAGCAAAGATAGATGGATTTTTGAACAGTAAAGTAATGAAGGATTATTTTGAGTGGACTGGTAGGTGGAACTAAGTCCACAAAAAGATCAACGTTATTGAATGGCGGAGCAGGCTTGATGGGTCGGATGGCCTACTCCTGCTCCTATTTCTTATATTCTAAACCAATACACTAGTTATCTCAGTAGCCTTTTATGGCCAAAGGTGGAGTCTGTCAGGAGTGGGCACAAGTCAGTTTTTAGTTCTAATACTTTGTTCAGTAACTTGCCCCTGGTGGCTGAAAATGTTTTGATTTCCTCTGACTTTATAATTCCTCTGACTAACCCTCTGACTTTATAATTTCTCATATATCATTTGTATCTCTACACTGAAGACAGATGCAAAATACCTCTCTGATTCACTGCCATTTTCTTATTTTCCATTATTAGTCCCTCAGACTCACTCCTTAGACACCCACCATTCAGTTTAAAAACTGAAAGAACTCGCGGATGCTGGAAATCAGAAACAAAAAGAGAAATTGCTGGAAAAGCTCAGCAGGTCTGGCAGCATCTGTGGAGAGAAATTGAAGTTAACATTTTGTCTCTTCTGAGGAGGAGTCAGCGGACCCAAAATGTTAACTCTGATTTCTCTCCATAGTTGCTGCCAGCCCTACTGAGTTTTTCCAACAATTTCTGTTTTTGTCACCTTTCAGTTTATTTGCTCTGTACTTTTAAAATATCTGGAGAAGCTCCTCCTATCTGTTTTTATATTTCGAGCTAGCTTTCCCTTACTTTAATTTCTCCCTCTTATTTTCTTTGATGTTTTACTTTGATGTTTTTCGCTCAAGCTGCTGACCTGACACTCACTTTCATGGAATTATAAGCATTTTCTTTCAGTTGATACCACCTTTAACTTCCGCAGTTACCCACAGATGATGAGTTCTTCCCCAGAGTCTTTCCCACTGGAAAGTATATTTGCCAAGTTCTCTGAAACAGCTCCTATGTCGACCATTGCATCTCTTCAGACCTATTCATTAACCTCATTTCCTAGTTCACAGCACTCAGCTACGTTTTCATACTGTCATAATTGCCTCTATTTAGGTTTAGACCTTCTAGTCTCAGACTCAAGCCTCAATCATGAATTGATCATTGTTACCTGGGGTCTTCTTCACACTGAGTTCAATAAAAGTCCTGTTCTCCTGCACATTCTCAGGTCTGGTGTAACTTGCTATAAGAACAGAAACTGCTGGAGAAATTCACCAGGTCTAGCAGGATCTGTGGAGAGAGAAACAGTTTCAAGTCCAGTATGACACTTCTTCAGAATGGATGTCCATATTACGGATGTCCGTAGTATTTTGCTTTTATTCCAGTATAGTATGCTTTCTGGTTGGTTCTAGAAGGTGCTTCTCTAAGGAATTGTTCTAAAGTTGCTCTGAACTCATCTTCTATGTATAGCCTCTCTCTCTCTCTCTCTCTCTCTCTCTCTCTCTCTCTCTCTCTCACTATTTGAAGGCCTATAAAATCACAGAATCTCTACAGTGCAGAAAGAGGCTATTCTGAGACTGCACCAACCACCCAAAGAGCATCCCACCCAGACCCCTACCCTAACCCGTTTACCATGGCTAACTCACTTAGCCTGCACATAAATGGGCACTATGGGCAATATAGCACAGCCAATCCACCTAACCTGCACATCTTTGGACTGGAATATCCTCACTAACTAAATGGATTCTATCTGAGTAATATACTCTATTACTAATATAATGATATCTTCCCCAGTCAGAACCTCCATCAGGCTGCCATTTTTCAGCTCTGGCATTCTAAACTCTTTATATCCTTAATATTCCCTCGGGGCTATTTAGCCCTGTGACTCGCCAACATATTTCACCACACTGCGTATATTTCATCACAGTATTCATATGGCAGCCCATGCTATTGTAAAAATGGGTTGTGCTGCCTGCTGGGTTGGTGAGGGGGCACAC